TATTTGTTGTCAAAGGTAGAATGAAATAATTTGGTGGTAATGCTGACCAGTTCATGACTTGTATGATATTGATAGTTAGTCCCATACTACAGTGTGGATGTCTCCTCAAAATACACATTAATATTTAATTGGAATTGAAAGTATTCATAAACTGAACCTTAGAAACTGGATCTTCAAGAGACTGCATGAAAGGGGTCATTGCAAAGGGGGGATTGACAAAAGGCTTTAAGGCTATTCTCATTCTCTGTCTTCCAGCTTGCTTTTCCTTACACCATACACAAGATGATGTACTCCTTCACTTGTAGACTTCCAGCCTCTAGAACTGTGAAAAACTGAACCTCCTGTATTGGTAATTTGCACCACTTGTAGTATTTTGTTACAGTAGCAGAAAACAAAATGAGGTTATCTGGTAGGATAGCATTTCAAGACTCCTGGTAAGCAGAGTTGTACTACAGTAGCTTAGAGACTGCCATTAGTTTTTAGACAGCACTTCTTTTTGTGATAAGTTCACTTTATTACTAGTTTTCCAGCTATGCAGACTTTGCACTTGGCATTTACTTATCATGCAAGAGAGATCAAAGAAGACTATTCCAATTCAGTTCCATTTACATTAGTATGTGTCTATCAGCCAAGATAGGTCCTAATTTATTTTCATCCATGGTGTCCTATGGTGTAACTTCTTTTTTTCCCTTTGGAAGTTTGGCTCCAGTGGCAAGTCACAATCCCAAAGATCAACCAAGAAGCTGACTGTCAATCAGAGTTGAGGAAAATGTTGTCTGTCCACCCCTCCTCCGCATTTGCTCTTTGAAATAGGCTGGCTTAGAACTTTAGGAGGGACCTACCACACCCAATTTTTCCTATTTCTTAAATCTCAATTAACCTTCAATTTATTAGTACCAAGTTCAAGTGTTCATGGCCTTAACCTATTCCCATCTGCTTCTTAGAACCCTGTTTCATGTGCTGTGAAACCATCTGAGCTCACCTCCAGAAAAGACATATGAATTAGAAGGAGGCAAGTCTCCTGTGGAAGATCTCTGAGATCTTCCAGTCCTCAGTCTACTCCAGCCCTGAGAGATGAGCCATGTCCAGCCCAGAGCAGCAAAACCTCCCAGGTGATCCCTAGATTCACAACCTAAACAAATTATTGTTATTTAAGATAGCAACCCTTGGTGGTGGCTTGTTTTGAAGGTGTATTGTATCAGTAGATAACTGATGAATATTCTCTATAACTTGCAGTCCATGACCCTGACAGCATGATAGCTTAATTCAATTAAGGAACAGAACTCGGCCTAGGGAATGTTCAGTGTATTTGTTTTTTCCTCCTGAGAGAAACGATACAATATTACGCCTGCATCTCACAGAACAAAGCCAAATGTTTGTTTAGTTCCTGAGATAAAGAGGATTTTATCTAAGGCAATGAAGCTACACAATTTAGGAATTCTAGTGTACACAGAGGCAATGTTGATAACGGGACCCCTTTATGTTCATGTGTTTATTGTGCAGCGCTTCCATCTGTGGGATCTGCTATTTCATGGAAATATGTACCAAAGCTTAGCTGGAATCATACAATTCTCTAACTTTGTGTTGTATCTAGACACCATAATTTCTCAAGTGTTACTGTCACCGAGTGATGAAACTGACAGTATTTTCATGCAATATGCACAGTATTCACCAGTTTCCTATTTCCTATCAATATAATTGTTATCATTGATAGTTTGTACCATTCATGAGCTGGAGTTACAAGTAGACCCTTTGCAAGAGCAATACTCTCTCTCAACTCCTGAGCTATCTTTCCAGTGCCCTAAGCCCTTTTTATACTTATTTATGTGTGCCTGTGTGAGTGTGTGCGCATGAATGTGCTGGTGTCATCCTCCACCATTTTCTACCTATATCTACTCAGGCAGGGTCTCTTTTGATATCTGAAACTTGATTTTAATTAGAGAACTTTAGTGATCTCACTGTCCTCCCCTACTCGGGGTTATGAGTATTTGTAGGAATACCCAGTTTGTCTCTTGGGTACTGGGATCTGAACTCTGTTCTTCATGGCTGCAGAGAACTGCTGAGTGACCTGCCCAGCCTCTATCTGTTGGGTTTTGTTTAATTGTGTGGTTTTTTTTTCCTTTTGGTTTTTTGAGACAGGGTTTCTCTGTGTAGTTTTGGAACCTAACCTGGCACTCGATCTGGAGACCAGGCTGGCCTCGAACTGACAGAGATCTGCCTGCCTCTGTCTCCCGAGTGCTGGGATTAAAGGCATGCCCTACCACGTCTAGTGATATGTCTTATTTTTAAGACAAGGTCTCATTATGTAGCCCAGGATGCCTTCAAACTCTTATGCCTCCTGTCTCAGCTTCCAGAATGCTAGAATTACAGGTGTGATCCATCATGACAGGTTCCTTCTTGATACTGTTAATCATCACTGTCAAATGTAGCGGCCACATGTGCCTTAACCAAGTTTCAATTGGAATTAATTGAAGATAAATGAAACTAATTTTTGGCTCCTCCATCTCACAAGCCTCAGTTATGTGTCAGTAGCCACACATGGCCGGAAGCCACCTTAGTGGACAGCACCGAGGTGGATTTTCATTCCTGAAGAAAGTTCTATTGACCAACACTGTTCTATACCATGTTCTATTTTAATGACTCCATAAATGTGAATTCAATTGTCTTCCTGGTTATTTTAAGTATTCACAAGTTAGTGTTTTGGGTGACTTGTTGAATTTTCTGACTAAAGAGAACAGCTACAAGTCTATTCACCTCTATTGCACAATCCAAAGCTGCCTTCTTTTGGTCAGCTTTGCAGGTCTTGGTCAGTGACATCTCCCTCCTCAAAGCAGAGTCATGCTTCACAGTCTGTCAGCCAATCCCTTCTGCCCATTCGGGATCTCATTCAGGATCACTTCAGAAGCTAATCTCAGTCTCCATCTTCCCACCATTGCCATAGCCTCATCCCCATACTCTCAGCTCTGCTCTCAGGGGACTTAATTGGTGCTTCCCCTTTGGCGAGTCCTTCCACCTTTTCTCCGTGCTTGTACTCTCACTGGCTCCAATAGCACTGGCCTTGTTATTGCCTTTCTACCAGGCCAGTGTTTGTGCTTATGTTCAAGTTCTCGCTCCTGCTAATGTTGGGATGCTGACACTCATCACCTTCAAGTCTGCAGTCCTCTTCCCAGCAAGGTTTTCTCCACTTATCCTTCCTAAATTGTAGTCCTTCATTTCAGTTCTTACTGTCTCCATAGCTCTTATGATCAGGCAATAATGAGCATGCCCCACACCCTAGTGCTGCTGTTTTCCTCCTCCTATACCTTTGGTCCTCTTCCTTTCAGTCTTTTTCAGTCTTTTCCCTTAAATTGAGTTGTAAGCCCTTTACAATAGTAGGTGCTTATTAAATATTTATTGAGAGAAAGAAATATATCTCATACAAAAATAATAGCCTGTACTCTAAGAAAATGCAAGCTAAATGATTATTTAGCTAAGAAAAATTATCTAAGCATTCACAGACGCAAGACCTGTCTTCACAGATATTACAGTTTAAGTACTAAAGCATTTCTTAGAAAACAAAAGAATGAAAGGCAATATAGCATTAAAAGCCAAGTAAACAGATTCAGGCACTGTGCACAGCCCAAATTCCATTGTTTCTGTTTACTACAGAAAAAATAGAGAGGGAAGTATTGCCACTGCTTATTTTAAACATGATGGGTTTCCCCTTCCTCCTGCCTCTCAGATAGGTTGTATTCTTAGTTTCCCTGAAGCCAGGCTGCAGATATTCTAAAAGTCTAGATTGGAAACAGATTTATAACAAGCAATTCCCTTAGAGAACTCTGTTAAAAATGACCAAGTTAGACCTATCATACTCTATTTACATGTATTGACGTTATAAACTTTTCTTATATAAAATTTAAGTATTATTGAAAATAGAATATTCTATGCAATAAATATTTTTTCATCCTATCTTGTGAAAGCTCATTGTCTTGGGTTATTTATCTCTTTCCCTTTGAGATGGCCTAAGAGAATGCATGCTTACAGGTCAAGAGTTATAGATTTTACCCTTCTCTTTCCAATTGCTCTATACACAAGTTCTATACATGAAAATTTTATGAATAATCAATTTCTAGGATGTCCTAAGTATCTGCTAACCTCAATCCAGGAAACCCATACTTTTGTTGTGCAATTAAAAAATGAGGCCAATTTAGTAGAGTCCATCATTATGGGTAAACTTAAATTAGACTTATAACACTGGAAATATTATGAGAATTATCATTATTGGGTAGGGAAATTCTTGCCTCTTGTCATTTTCCAGTATGATCTATGATGCAAAAGTAAATAAATTGTCTTTGCCCATATGATCAAATGGCTTGGAATAGAATTGTGATAAGGCAAAGTAAAGTAATTCCTATATAAAACAATCATCCCTGTGGGGTCCACCAAGCCCCCAGACAACTTGGAAAGACATACTACCCTTCCTGCTGGCTTGAGTGAGCAGTGCACAAGCAGCTGCTGTCCAGCTGGAAGCCACCCTCTGGTGGCCAGGTGACACAGTACTTTCTTGGCACCTGTATCCACAAACATAATTTTCATTACATAGCCTGAGATGATGCAAGCCACTCCTCCCCTGACCTGTAGATTAAAGCAGTCACAGAGAAAAGGACCAAATCAATGTTGCTTATATGTGTCTGAGGCTCCCATCACCTAAGTGTGCAAAAACACATTTTCCCTCTAGTTCAAATACTGAATGTCTGACTGCTCTGTTGCTTTGTCATTCACTTGCATTGTTTCTTTTTGTCACTAGCTCCACAGGAGACTAGTCTTACTAAAATGTGGGAACATAAATTCATGGTGGGAGGGGACAATATACATTTACGTTATTTAAGCTCTTTTATAAGCTAGGCTTTCATTTATTCTCCTTTGAATCCCCAGACCTGATATAATTTATTCACACTCACAGCCTGTAACAAAAGTAGAGAAGATGACCCACACTGAGCTGTTACTTTGTCAATAGTTACCTGTGCAGATTTTTTTAAAGTTGGGGTTTTCCAGAAGGTGTCCAGGTAGGCGACACTGGAAGCGATGTTGCCAGAACTCGGGGAACCAAGGATTCCTTGTGTTGGTATCTAGCCTCAGCTTCAGGAAGTAGTCATCGAATGACCTGACCTCTGGAGACTGCAGCTTTATTGTGATTCCTCCGTTGGCTTCCACTTCATAACCTTCAATGACTTCATCTCTGTCTGCCCATCCATCGCTAAAACAATTGAGGGAATGGGGTGAGGAGAGAAGAAGACAATGTCTCATAAATGAGTTCAGAAATACTTACAAACAAAGCAATCCAGAGAAGATAAAGCCTACTTTAAGCCACTGTAACTACCCATCAGTTACTAGACAGGAGAAAATTGTGGAAATGAAAGCTCCTGCTTGTGTATTTGCAGAGGGAAAGTGACTACAGCCAAAGTCTACTGAGCCTTTCCTAGTCAGAAGATTCTGTTCATCGCTTTCATGGAACAGAGATGAAATATTTTCAGAAATTATCTGAAGTTTTCATGGGTTCAGACAATCATGTTCCCATGTATAGTTCTCATAGTGCTAAATAATAAAATCATCTTGTAATAATTGTCCACACCAGTGACAACAAAGCCCAAATGCCTAGATTTTTCACACCAAACACTCAACATGTGAGGGGAACCCTGCAGGTGGTCATGGCAGTAAAACAACCTGTGAAGAGATGAGAATAAAAATCCACTTTAGATGGAACTCATCAACCAGGATCAAGACTTCAGGGATTCTGATGCCAGGTGCCTTATTAACAACAGATTTAAACATAGTACAATTTGGAAAAGAGTTTTCTGGTGTAATACAATCCCTGGTGCACAAGGATTACCCACATCAAAACTTGACTCAGGGTACATGTTATTTCTTCCAGCAAGATGGGCTCTAGAGATAGGCTATCTGTAGTAGCTTGAAGGCCTAAGAGAGGGTCTGGCCTGGACTTGGCCATACAGATATTGTAGGGATCATTGAGCTATTAGTTACCTCTTGTCATGCTTGTGTGTGCTTGGAGTGGGACCTCTGACTCTACAGAAAATGTAAAGGTCATTTAGACTATTAAGTATCTCTGGTCTCCAGCCTGGTCTACAGAGCTAGTTCCAGGACAGCCAGAGCTGTTACACAAAGAAACCCTGTCTAGAAAAACAAACAAACAAAAATATCTCTGGTCCTGGTTATGGGAGCTTGAGGAAGCCCCTGGCTATAAGGTCCATTTAGATTGCTAGCTACTTCCAGTCCTGGTTGTAGGAGCTTGATATCATTTGGCCCAACAGATAAAACAGATCATAGGGTTATTAGTCACCTCCAATTCCCATCTTTCTGAATGGAAGAACAGATTTTCCATCTTTCCCATTAGAAAGACAATCCTGTGTTCTTAACATTCCCCATCTCCCTTGGGGATCTGTGGGTGCAAGGACTTTCTTGCTGTGCTTCTAACAAATGTGGTTTCAACATTATAGTCAAACCATAACAAGGGTTGTATGCTATGAAGTAACAGATGAATTTAGCAGTGTTTGCTCCTGGGATATTCTTCTCATTTGGCTCCCATTTGGCCAGAGTATTTTCCCAGTGCTATCCCAAAATAATAGCATTTGTGGAAAACCATCTCACTCCCAAATATAAAGAACTCTCTTGTTCACTAAGTAGATGCCACTGACATTTTATCTAGAAGGTTGGGTTTTTAAAATGCATTCACCTTCTGGAGCAGTCACATCTCCTGTGAGTGACATAGTATCAATTAAGTTCTAGTGTACACGTGACCTGAGAGGTACGAAGAGCTGAACACACAAAAAGCCTTTCTTTATTCATGATTATTACTGTATGTGAAAAACATTGAATTCAGCTGTTCTGAACTTTTTTTTTTTTAAAAAAAAGCAGGTTTTTAGCAGCCAAGGGAAACATTGCAAAAATGCTACAAGACACCCTGGAGAGGTTGGTCTGGATGTCTAGGCCATCTGGGTTTGTTTATTGTCACTTATATAAACTAATCTCATAACTTCTCACAGAAACCAGGAGGCAAAATTTAGCATTCGTTTCAAAGGGATGACTCCCAGACTGAAGAAGAAAGAAATCCTAAGGCAATAAAAACTTGTAAGCAGTTGGGGGATTTTTGTCTCAAAGGGGCGGCAAAATAATTGACAATTATAGGTTTGCGAAAGTAAATGTGTGAATTAAAGGGAAGTTGGGACCTCTCCCCAGGAAGCTTAGTAGAGCTAAAGGCATGTTAAGACCACCTAGGCCAGAGAGCAGATTTATCTCATCGCTAGACACACAGATACATAGCATAGCCACCTGAAGTTAATGGAACATGATGCTATAGGCTATGCTACAGAAAGTGTCTTGTTTGCTTTTCACAGAGCAGGGAACTGGGCTGAGTACATTTGACTGAGCACAGCTCACCCCTGGTTACCTGGAAATATGTGTTCTCTCTTTAACTGAGCTAATTGGTTGAGTTCCTAGAAGGCCCCCAGTGAACCACCTTGAACTACACTTTCAATGGGTCCAGAGTGATAAAGAGTAGGGCAGAAAATATGTCCCTGAGTTTAAGGGATTTTGAGGCACAGTGTAGAGTAACCATACCAGACCATGTGGGCATGCCTCCTGTCCTGCTAAGAGAGATGCTTCACAGTTCTGTGTACATTCTGTACCTTCATCTGAATTCACATCATTGTATCCATGATACTTAGCTACAACTTCAACTGAGGATAAGAGGCATTATTTCCTGCCTACCTTACCACCACCATTTCTGTTATTTATTTAAAGGTAATTTAAGTACTAAAGGTTTTTAATACAGAAATAGATATCTAACAAGAATAGATACAGAAATAGATATCTAACAAGAATAAAGAAGTGGTCAGTTTCACCATGAGGGAGAGGTTGGAAGTTAAATGCAGGTGTGTGTGTGTGTGTGAGAGAGAGAGAGAGAGAGAGAGAGAGAGAGAGAGAGGAAGACAGAGAGGAGGGAGAAAGAGTGTGTGTGTGAATGCCTATATATGTGTGTCTCTGTGTATGAGTGAATGTGTGTGTGTGAGAAAGAGTATGTGAGTGCCTATGTATGTATGTCTCTGTATGAGTGAGTGTATGTGAGAAAGTGTATGTGAGTGTGTGTGTTTGTGAGTGTGTGTGAGAAAGTGTGTGTGAGTGTGTCTCTTTGTGTGTGAGAGTGTGTGCTTGTGTGAGAAAGTGTGTGTGTAAATGCCTATGTGTGTGAGTGTGTCTCTGTGTATGAGTGAGTGTGAGTGTGAGTGTGTGTGTGTGTGTGTGTGGGAATATAAAGAGAGTGTGCTGAGACTACTATAAGAAGGTGATATCTGACCTAAGGAGGAGTCAGCATTAGTCAGGTAAAGAATGGGGAGAGGTGTCAGTGGTCTCTGGTAGAAACAGTCATCCATACAGCTGGAATAAGAGAAGTGTGGCATAAACTTTCCAGGCTAAGGACCAGGCTAAGGACTGGATTAATGTGTTAATCCAGAAGCAGGGGAAAGGCTCGAAATATTGTTGGCTTGTTACTCATAAGGTCCCCCTTCCTTCCTCCAGCAGGTTAAGTGGCCAGAGTACAGTACCAGTGATGGATTTCTCTGCTCACTGTCACTGAATATGAGAGATAGTTAAATTGATTTAACAGATTGACTTATCCACCTTTCTTTTTGATCAATCTACTAAGAAAGGCATAACCTTTAAATCCATATTGAATTAATTGTCTGCTGGAAAGAAATACAAATCCTGATGAAAGGCAATAGGAATACATTTAAATTCATAGATTCAAATAAATTCTGTTACATCTTAACTACATCTACAACAGCTTGAGGTTTGAACTATAGTTCATGTCATCTTAAAGGAGAGCAAATCAAAACCAGTTAGACTTTCAAAGATTTCTGCCTATGGTTATTCTTTGAAATCAAAGTGAATTTCAGCTTAAAGAAAATAATTATTTTTTTACATAGAGGTCAGTCTGGACGTGTTGCTTCCCAAAATTCAATATTGTGAGAGGTTTATTTAGTTTACCATCTATTTAAAAACATATACCATTGTAATTTTAAATAGCATATGAATGAAAATTGTAGATCTGTTTTGCTTTCTCCCTCCCCATCTCCATACTTTCTCCTCTCTCCATCTTCTCCTCTTTGAATCTCTACCTATTTTATTTCTTTCATTATGTACCATTTTTGTAAAATAAAATATAATGTGTTAATCCAAGAAGCAGAACATTTTTGACCTCCACATCTTAGGAACAAATCATTCTCTGTGAACTCAGACCAATTTGCAATTTAGAGAGTTGGAGCCCTACATCTTTTGATGGCAAGTTGAATGCTTTCATCCCCATTAAAGATGGCACCCATTCCAAAAGTTACAGCTAGTGTTAAATTCAAGAGGTCATAAAATAAAGGCAAGAAAAAGAACGTGACAGCAAAATCATTCAGGCAGGATTACTGGGTGAATATTTATTTAAGTAGGGTGTGATTGGAATATTATATGTGAGCTTAAATCTGCTTCCAGTAATGTGCAAGGAACTTTTATTGTCATTGGCTTTTTTTTTTTTTTTTGAAGCAGGGTATCATTAAATAGTCTTGGCTGACCTGGAACTTACAGTATAGCCCAGTCTGGCCTTGAACTCATAGAGATCCACATGCCTCTCCTTCGATGAAAGGTGTGTACCACAACTCCCAGAATATATAAGGAATTTAAATAAAATAATCTACTTAGAAATATTGGTAAGGTAGCTCTTCATTTTTATACTTTAAATTACTTTATCTGTATATTCCTTGCTGCCAAGTGCATTTACAGAGAACACTAAAGGTCATTTTCCTGTTTAGCTGTGTTAAGAATTTGGGTGATGACATTTTTTTGGGGGGGTGTTTTCTATGAAATGTGTTTTAACAGGGAGCCAGAGGCATGCCTCATGGTGTGCCCTGTACTTGACCTGAGGTGACTTCCATCACCTGGTCACCCCTTATGAGTTGGGAGTACATCCAGGCTGCTGGAAGGAGAGTCCACTTCAGACATCACTGGACTCCGAGAGGCACATTTATGGCCTCTGGCAATCTTGCACTGCAGCATCTGCTTCCCTGCCTGGTACCTGGAAAAAAACTGCACATTGTGGAGGAACAGGACAATTGTTTAACAAAAAACCCAATCAATGCCTTAATGATTTCTCAAAAAATTAGAATCCTCAGTTTTTCTCCCCCTTCAATTATTTTGTGT